GCTCCCCGGGCCTGCGATACAGTTGGAAAAGAGTACCGGTGGTTTAAACAACCTAAAACTGCCCCTTTCCTTTTTTTTTTTAAACCAGCTACCCCCCCACCCCTCCATAATCCCAAGGTATTGCCACAAAACCATCCCTTACTTTTTCCAGTGGGCACGGGAGCAGCATCCAGCCCTCGTAACATGTCACGTAGCACTTGAGTTTTGACGGCGTGGTTGGCCCAGAGCTGTTGCAGGTGAGTGACGTTGAACTCCTGCACTTCCCGGTCGTAAAGCCACTGCAGGTTTTCAAACTCGCAGTCATACAGGACAAGGGGAAACTCGACTGCCATGCTAGGGAAAAGGAGAGCAGGTGTTACCCGTCCCCGGAGGGATGCCGTGACACAAAAAGGCTTGCGCAACGGTTCTCTGCCAAAAACCAGCCCTGTCTTCTACAGAACTCCTTTTTCTGATAAAAGGAGGATTCATTTTAACCAAATACCAAGGACTAAAGCCACAGGATACCTCCCAGATAGGCTGCTGGCAGCTTGCTTCCGTGCTGTGAGGGACTGCTTGGCTGGCAGGCAGGGAAAGTGTCTTTGCAAAGCAGCCCGGAGGTGTCTCCTGAGCTCTCCATACCTGTACTGCGGTTTTTGGGGATTCTTCTCCACGTCCAGCAGCTCGTCGATGATCTCGGGGCTCTCCATCCCCTGGCCGATGAGGAAGAGGATGGCCATCATGCAACGCACTTGGTGGTACAGGAACGCCTGTCCTGTCACCTCAAACTGGCACAGACGGAAGGGATCCTGCAGGTCCGTTTCTCCTCCCTCTCTCTCCACCCGCGTCACTCCGGCGCTGAGGATCGTCCTCTGGAAGTTGACCACCCCGTTGGCCACGTCCATTTTACAGAGGTTACGGAAGTCGTGGGTTCCCACGTACCTCTGGGCTGCGGCGTGCATGAGGCCCACGTCCAGGTCGGCAGAGGGGAAGAAGTACCGGTAGGTCCTCTTCAGGCAGCTGAACCTGGCGCTGAAATCGGGCTCCACAGGGGCCCAGGCCAGCGCCCGGATGTCGGGCGGGAGCACCCTGTTCAGAATATGGGTGTAGCGGAGCTCCTCCTCCCCCTCCCTTTTGCCTTCCAAGTCACCCTCATGGCCGTTGAGCTTCTTCCCCTCCGCCAGGTTCGAGCGGAGGTCGAGGGAAATCACCTGCCAAAACAAGGGAAGCCAGGATCAGATCGGGAATGGGCGTATTTGGTGCGTCAAGCCGAGCCTTCCTACGCCGCTGTGAAAGAAATCCAGGATCTCCTGCAGACGAAGGTGTCTCAGATCGCGCGATCCTACCGCTCCTTCCTGCGGGTAAAGCTGCCGGTGCCTGCGCAGGTTCCCAGCAGATGCTACGGATTCCTGTAATAAAACAGGGAGCTGCAAGCTGCCCACGTGGCATGGTCTCGAAACGGCTTCAACCTGAGTCGCTCTTTTGAGGATATAATGTGCTTTTACTTTATTTTTTTGCTGGGGGTGATGCCTTGAACCCGGGACCAGCCTGGCTGCCTGGAGACCTGGCGTTGGGAACAAGCCGGTTAACACCGCCGGTGCCTCCACGCTGCGAAGGGCGCAAGAAAAGCCCTTATTCCGCGCAGAGCCTCTCGTGAAGGCGGGCAGCCCGCCCACCCAAGCCAAAACCGCCCCGGTGAGGCCCAAAGCTGAGCCAGCCCTGCTTCCTGAGCCGGGAGGGACGGAGAGACTGGTCCAAGGGGGCTGCGCTTTCCCCAGCGGCTCAGCCAGCCTGATGGCTCCGTGCCCGAGCGAGCGGGGCCGGCTGGCTCCCCTCCCTCCAGCTCCCACTCCCACGCTCCCTTCCGCAAGCTGCGGCTCCCCTCAGACCCTTCTGCGCAGGAATTCAGCTGCCTGACTCCACAGGAAGCTCTCCAGCTCTTGGATTTGGGCTTAGCAAGTGAAATCAGCGGAGAGAGCTCTGCCAAGCGCTGCAGTTGGAGCCGGAAGAGCAACGAGCGCGTCTGCGGAGGAAGGGCCACCTCCCCTTTTTTGGCAACGCTACTGGGGAAGCTGCAGCCTAAAATGAGTTTCATCCTCGCAAAACAGGCCCCTGGAAAAAAAAAAACCCTAGCGCTAATCTGGAAAACAACTAGCACTGGTAAACACTCGGAGGGGCTCGGATCGTCCTTCCGCACGCAGGAAGCCACCGCCAGGCTCGCTGTCAGACTGAAAAGCCATCAGCTTTTAAAAAACGAGCCCAATCTGTGCTGTTTTGGCTCATCACCCTGGGGCAGCAAGCCCACCGGATCTCCATCCCACACAGGAGCCCAGAAATCTGGGGAAGCCTCAGCTGGGGGGGTGGGGGAGCCTGACCTGTCCAAAGGCACTGACTCCTTTGTCCGTCCGCCCGCAGCGGTGGTAGTTGGAGGTCTGTCTGTCGTCTACCAGCCGCGTCTTCTTCAGGGCCTCGAAGAGCTTCTCCTCGATGGTGTTGCTGGTGTTCTCCTGGCTGGCAAAGCCCTGGTAGCCCCAGCCCAGGTAGGCGATCTTCAGCGCCACGTGCCTGCGGCCGTAGGCGCCAAAATCGAACGGCCGTTGCTGGCGTTTCCTGCCTTTCCCGGGGGCCGAAGGGGCCTCTCTTCTCCCAGCGCCCTCCTGGTCCTCTCCGAGCTCCTCCTGCAGCCGCCTCACCTCCTCTTCCAGCTCCTGCACCCTTCTCAGCAGTCGCTCTCGATCGGTAACCGCGTTCCCCTCGGCCATGGCTGCTGCCTGGGAGGCTCGATGAGCTGCTCGGAACTCCTCGGGGCCTGCAGAGAAAGAAGGAAACCGGGAGGTTTGCGTTTTTACCTGCCTTTTATTTTACAGAGCAACTTTCTAGGTGTAACAGTTGTTACTGCCGAGTAATTCCTGAGTTTCCAACCCCTTGGCATTCCCTAGCAGAACACAGGAAGGGCCAAGGGGGCTGAGCTGAGGCAGCCTCATCTTACTCGAGTCTCTTGGCGCTTTTCCA